ACATCAACATCAACATACCCAGTATATTGATGTTGGTTAGGAATGTGATTATATGTAAGTTAAGATAAGATGGAATACATCTAAACAAATTCGCTTATGATATTTTCATTTAAATGTTTGAATGAATTTGGATTATTTTCTCGGCCTCTGCTGCTATTATTTGAGAAATGTGGAATTAAAAGCACCAATTATATTGTAGACAGCTAGGTTATTGATTTACTTCTAATTTGTTACCATGATTTTGTTTTGCACTAAACAGACGATTCATCATAATTCTCAGTCAGAATACCCAGAAACACATCAAAAATCAAATGACAGCAGCAACATGATAAATAGAGACTTAAATCCAAAAATCCATCATCAACAACCACAAGGATAATACTTGAAAACCATACATTATTATACTAAAATAAAAATATTGCTTAAAGCTCTACTTGATAGTTCAAGTGCCTTCCGTAAGGACAACCCGAGCAATGGCGCATTTCTTGCGGCCAGTTCCGATTAAGGTCTGCGTCGCGAACCCACCCGGAAGACCGAATTTCACCAGCTTTTTAATGTCCACTGCCTCGACGACGTTCGGTCTACGACCTCAGCAGCGGAGGAGGCAACCTCAACGGTGGAGGAGGCGACCATTAGGGTCGGGAATTTGGGGGCGGCGAATTTTAGAGAGAGGGATTTCAGCGGAACGGAGAGATGAGATGAGATGGTTTGGAGGAGAGTTGGGAAGATAAGGAGAGACAATAAAAGGATGAGGCCGATTTAATATTTTCCCTAAAAATTTCAAAATACATTTAGGTAGATTTTTAAATTTTGAAATTTAAATATAACAAATCCCATGAATCGTGGAAGAATAAAATGTTGTTTAATTTTTTATTAAGAAAATTTAAAAAACTTACTTAAAATAGAATGCAATTAATAATTTCAGTTTTTTTACTTACTATTTTTGAAATTGGTAATTCTTATTATATAGATATAGATATCCTAATGGGTACAACATGTTCACATTTTGTAACTGAATATAGTAAACATATAATATTATAAAACACATATACATATCAGAAATTCTATGGCACCACATGTGACACCATATTATGGTGCCACAACATGATGTGACATATTATGATTGATGCCACAACTATCACACATCATGTTGTGACACCAATCATAATGTGCCACATCATGTTGTGGCACCATAATATGGTGCCATAGAATTTTTGTATACATATACCATACCTCTTATATACTGATAATATACTAGTTTAGTCATTTGCCATTGAAGAGATTTTTTTCGCTGGAAAAGAAAACCTGGGGTGGAGGTGGTTTTGGAGAGAGAGAAATGAACGCAGATGGAGAGAGAGATTGCAAAAGTGGTTTCCCTTTTTTAGGTAAGTCAATAATTATCTAAATTAATTGTGATACTCAACATTTAAGTATAAATGCAATATTTTATGCAAGATTTGGTAAATCTATAAATAAGCTTATATTAGGTACAAAAGTATAATATAAATGATAACTGAAAGTAGGGGTGTAATTTCCTCTTATATTAACATGCTAATATTTACAAGGTTGTTATATTTATGTAATAATTAAAAGGATCGTACATGATGCAATTTCCTCTTTTCAATAGCATATGGCATGGGCCTGGCCCAAATCGCCCCCTCAAAAACCGAGCAAAACAAATTAAACTGGGAAAAAAATGCAATTACAAATATCTGCAGGGATCTCTGTGCAAACGAACATTTTCAATTCCTAAAACCCTAGCAGCCCTTAGCCTTCAACGAAGTTAGAATGTTAGATATGCAAATGCTCTTTATATATTTTCCCCAAATTTTACCTTCCTCGATAAAACCCTAACCCTCAGAAAACCCCCAAATCTCAATCCAATAGGTATGAACATTTTAATTAACTCTTTTATTTCGGCTAACGATCTCTGTTTTCAAAATTTTCAATTATCAGATTTCTTATTCGTTGAAATTTATCAATCTCGGCTAGCTTAATCAGCTTAGTTGAATGCAATTTTATGCAGATGATGAAATTTAGAATTCGTCATACTCCCATTGAAGGAGAAAGATGATATTTTGTTTATTTGGAAATCAGAATCTCTGATGCATTTCTTGATAATGTTTCCAATAAATCTTGACTTGTGCTCGATTAAAAGTTTCCATTGCTTTTTCCAATTTGTTCTCGATCAAAGTTTCCATTTTTCAGTTTGTACTTAATCAAGAGAAATGATACAGTCTCGTTACGGAACTATTTTGTCAAGATTTATAACCGTTACATCATCATGTAACGACAAATGTAGCCGTCGTGGATATTTGATCTAACGGTTACAAACTTCGACATTCTGTCCCGTAACAGAACCGTAAAATCTCCCCTTAATCAAAGTTTTCATTTTTCAATTTATACTTGATTAAAGCTTGCATTTTTCAATCTGTACTCTATGGAAGTTTTCATTTTTCTTTGTGATGACAGATGCCCTTGTTGCCTATGATGGTGTTAAATATACTTTGAGTGTACAACTGTGAAAAGTCATATCATCTGAGGCTTTCAGGCACTTGATTTCAACTTTTTTTCCTATTTTTATCAGTTTTATTTTGTTGCCATTTTGATTTTTGTTGTGCAATTTTTGTGACTGAACTCAAAGTTCAGATTTAGCAGATGATGACAAAATAGACAGGGACATCAGAACTCCTCATGGAGTAAAAAAGATTGACTTAGTCTAATGGGAATCTCTCTGATGCTAATCTATGTTCAACAGTTTAATGACTCCATTTTTTTTTGGCTCAATATTGATTGAATTTGTTCAAGATCTTGAATTTTGGCCAGTGATGCATAAATTACATAACTATGAGTTTTTGTTTAAACATTGATTATGCCTTGTAACATATGAATCATCGCAGCTGAGGCCATAACTGTCTTGCAATATTTCTTTTACCACATTGTTCTTTCGACACATTGCATCTTTCGGGAGATGCTACCGTCCACTTACATAACTATTCCGTGGGGATTGTAACCGTTAGATCACCAGTTTTGCTAATGATGTATTCTTACATTGCTTATAATAACAGAATATGAATGATGACATTTATTCAATTGTCACTACCTCTGAGGCGAACACTTGGGACTAATAAATTTTAATGATCACTTTTTTTTGTTTGTCTAATTGTGTATTTCATTTTGGTTTTTAAAATTATGTGGTCTCCATGGAATTTCTCTCATGTGTTTGAACCTTTTGTTGAAGAGAATCTAATCTTGCTGGCCAACATTGGTGTTTTAACTATTATTTTCTAAAGTTTTAAACTATAATCAAGTTGTAAATTTTGTCATAAAATCTTTTGATTAAGCAAATCATATAGTTCTTTTTATATTACTAGCAATGCAGTGATATCAGAAAACATATGAAAACTACTGAAATAAAATAAACGTAATTTTAAAATAAGATGGGTGAATATAAAATCATAAAACATTGAAAAAAGATTTCTCATTGTCTCTCTTTCGCGAAGAGATGTTGTGAGTGGATGAATAGTGAATTAAAGAAGAGATGTTGTGAGTGGATGAATAGTGAATTAAAGTTGATGTGATGTGTAAGAAAGATTGGTTGAAATTATTTAATTATAATAAAATATTGATGATAGTGGGGTTGAGTTAAAGTTGATTTAAAGAATGTGGTTTAATTAAAAATGATTGATTTTTTTTTAGATAGTTTTGTATCCATGCATACTTAAGTAGCTCAAACATTTGACAATGGTGGCATCAAAGAACCAAGTAGCTTAGATAACCCTAGGTATGTACCGTATGTTCGTAACTTATTTAAAATAGCTCAAGTAGCAAAATAGATAAAATAGCTCGGGTGTAACATAATGCGGATAGAAAAGTGTGTTAGTAGCTCGGCTAAGACTGGTGATGGGAGGACACGTGTAGGGCCACAAGGGAAAGAACTAAAAGATCCTATGAATAAGATTAGGTCTCGGGCAAGCCTAGGATAGTCAAATAATCGTCGGGCAGGCCTTCGGGTAGCTTGGTAGGACAAATCTTGTTTAAACCTCTGTGAATCCTTTGAAAACACTTCTCTCAGCGTCTTTGTAGGTCTACGATGAGCAAATTGCTCGAAGGACCATTGGAATGTCGGTTCGAGATGCAAGAGCACATCACCCCTAATAAACTCTATTTTAAGAATTACAAAGTTCTTTGTAAAATTATCACCAAACCCAAAATTCTACCAAAAATCCGGATTCTCATGATTTCTGTTCAAAATTAAATCAAACCAGATTGTCCTCCATTTACTAAAATCATGTTTTTATTTTATTTTTTTTTATTGAAATATGACATTTCTAGTGAATATACACATTTGTACAAAAATAGTACGTAACCGACTATAGTTAAGGCCCGAAGAACTACCGATTCATAAATGGTTACATTTTATTAATCAATTTGTAAATAGGAAATTGAACCAACGTAAATGGGTTATGGATCTTCTTTCTATATGCTATGTAAAAGTAATTATTTTTTTAGCACCAAAAAGCCTAAAATTACGCATGTGATTGGATATATATTTTTTTTTAACTATAGTTAATTTTGAAAAAAAAAAAGTAGGATTAGTTAGTGAATATTTAAGTTTAAATTAAAATACTTAAAAATATTAAAGTTGAGTATGTAAAAGTAGAAGAAAAATAGAAAGTGATGGTTAGTTAAATTATGTGATTGGACGAATAGTGAATTAAAGTTGATGTGATGTGTAGAAATGATTGGTTGATATTATTTAATTATATTGATAATATCGAAGATAATGATGTTGAATAATAATTGAGTTAAATTTAAATTTTGATTATTTTTTGGTTGAGTTGATAAACAATCACACCCGTAGGCACTCATCACTTCGAATTGCAGCCATATGAAACACTCACAATCCAAAAAAAAAAACTTCAAACAAGTTCATAAACCAATGTTTTCAATCCATAAAACCAAACAACCACCAAATTATCCTACTGATACATGGTCTTTCAGAAAAAAGGCGCCCTATGAGGCACGCCTTTACGGCTCCTCTTGCGCTTGGACGGGTTATCTGCTTGCTCTCTGCCATCCCTCACTTGCGAAGTCCCGACTCCATGTTGTCCTCGACGGACACCTGAAATTGCCTGAACCTGGAAAAAAAATGTATAAATACGTACAAACATATATAGTTAGTTTCGATGAAATTTGCATGAATTATGATCTATTGTACATGTGTGATACATGAGGGAAAGTAGTTTCGATGAAATTTGCTTGAATTTAATATTATTCTTGCCACGCTAATTAATTACAATTTTGGTGTTGTTATCACACCAATTCTTCTGTTTGACAAAAACAAAGGATCATGTAATAATAAGTTTTAGTTAAAGAAGTTAAGAAAAATGATTCTCAACATATTATGTGGTATCATCACATATTTCTCAGTATTTAGTGCAATATTGGGCAAGTCAGTGTTGTATACTCAATTTGTGCACATTTGTAGTGCATTTTCAGTGCATATTATTAATGTTGTTCAATAATATTACTGAAAACAACTCCTCCACACTTGTTACGTACCTTGCACGAAATAGAGCAAAATCGAAAGCGATCTGAATCAGTGAGCTTTCTCTTGCACACGTTGCAAGCTCCATCGCCTTCAATGAGCGAGCCGGACCCATTATGTGGGAGAGGGGTCAAAGACACAACCCACTTCTTGTTGCATTTATAAGGCTACATTTAAATCGAACATTTAATAAATTTTTAACCGGTAATTATTTTACATAAAAATTATTTATATTTAAATAAAACTTATAATATACCTGTATTGTTTGGCAATCCATATGAGTTTCCATCTCACTCAAGGGGACAACATTTTGGTAGACATGTCTGTAGATGGTGAGTATCTCGTGGCTCTTGTGGCCGCCACACGAGATACAATACCTGCAAATCGGTGCGTCGCAAGTTATGCAATACCGATTGTGTTCGTTTTTCTGCATGTCATGGCTAAGACATTTTTCGAAAAATGTCTTCTCCAAGAAGTTGTCTACCCAGTTTGGGTAACTGCGACTTTGGATGATGCTATCAACCTACAAAGAGAAGATTTAAGATAAACAAATTAAGTATTTCAAAAAGTCCAATCGTGCGGCAAAAAAAATTTAATTCACGCTTGGTGAACTTAGCTGATCGCTTATGACTTATATGACTGAATAACTAGCTTATATGATGAAAGTGTTTGATAAAATTAGTTGATTAAGGAGTAGCTCTAGCTTTTAAGTAGTTGTTGTTTTGGTCGTGCAATGCAGTGCATAAATGGCGCTGTAAAGAATAAAATAAATTGCACTAAGGAAAAAAAATTCTTGTATGTAATAAAAATAATCATCAAGTTATTTTAGCTATAATTGTCGTGGGGTAATATTCTGTCTTAACCTTTATATCAGATACAATTACGATAAAGCCTGTCAATTTAAAAAATACAGATTAAAAATATTGGATTTTATGTAATATGAACTGTTAGTGATTTTTTTAGGACTATTGTCATATAGATTGAATTATATAATTGTTTAAAGTTTATTAATTACATTTTTGCCCACAATTTTGTAGCGTGCGTCTCGCACGCTCGCTTTTCTAATAAAATAAAAAATGGACCGTCGAGAGTTAGAAGTTGCGAAATAGACATTTTGTATATTAGGTTGCAATTGCAAATGCTAAATACCCGAATATAGTACAATATGACATAGGTAAAAAAAATAAAAAATAAAAATAACTATATACATATTTATATCCAGGGGGAACATTACTGAATCTCTCAATTAACTGATCACACTTATGTTTTGAATCAAATTTGTAATATATTTCTTTATTAATAATAAATAAGCTATATAGCACGAGCTATAACATCGTAACAAATTTATCGTAAAATTTATTGTGAATTACGATAGATCTACGAAGTATATTAAAAAAAAAGCCAGATCGATTATCAAATTTTCTATTAAAGCCGTGAAAATATGGCGCTTTCTTAAAAAATATAGTACGAGCGATAGCCGACAATACCATAACATTTATTAAAACGTACGGCATTTACGAGCGCTAGCCGACAATAACCATAACATTTATCAAAACGTACGGCTACATTTATGAGAATAACAAAATAATATAGTATGCGCAATAACGTCAAAACATTTATTTTTAAGTACGAGATCTACAGAGTTTAACAAATGTTGTATCTAAAGTTATCGAAGAAAATTAATAATAAAATACTCAAAAAATGGCAATAATATTCGTATTCGTTTCGTTTATAAAAGTATAAATGTATATAAATGTGATACCTAGCTATCTCATGAATGTTTAAACAAGAAATGCATATTATATATGTACCTTTTGCATTACTTCTTTTGAGGTGCTGCTCATCTTTGTGAATTTGATAACACTTTGAAAGCTTTTGTGTAATTCAAATTAATAACACAAGGTTTTGAAATGTTTGTGTGTAAGGTAAAATGAAGAGGATATTTATGTTAGGTGAATTTGTGTGAGAAAATCTGTGATAATTTAATAGTGTTGTTAGAATAAATTGTTTTTATCTATAACAAGAACAAATATACATA